TCCTCCGCGCTTGCGCGGAGGCCACGGGGAAGGTGGAGCCGAAGTCCAATCGGGACGCCCTTGAGAAGGCCCTCGGCGAAGTGGGAGTCCGAGGCGGGAAGCCCGATTGGTTCGATTTCAACGCGTTGCCGCGCCCAGAACCGAATGAGCCCGCAGCGGCGGGGAAGACAAAGGCTTCCGCAGAGGAGCGCGAGTTGATGCCGACGGCCATTTCCTTTGACCCCACGACGCAATTACCAACGAACCACCAGCGCAGCAGGGACACGACGGCCATTCCACGCGGATCCTTCCCTTTGCCAATCGCCGAAGGGAGGCGTTCAGCGGCAGCGAAGGAGCTGGGGCGGGAGCCTGCTTTGGTCAGCGCAGTGTTGCTGTGCCTTTGGGCGCGCCACATGTCCGCAGTTGCGGAAGCGCAAGTAGAGGTGTTGCAAGACGCTGACACAGAGAAACGCACCGTCAAGGCAACCGCTGCAAACGACGAAAAATGCATCGAGTTGTGGCCGTGCGTCCCAAAGGCATCCAAGGTGCACGCCGCGAGCACGCACCCCGAGAGGGTGGCCGTGCAAGTCTGGGTGAAAGGAGATCCAAATGGGGCCACGCCCACGACCTTCTACTTGCACCCCGAGTTCAAGCCGCCTGCGGACAAGACGCCCGCCGACGTGGCTGACCACGATGTGCGGTTGAGAGCATGGAAGTGGGAGGCGCAAGAGACAATGCACGTCTTCTGGGCAGTCAACAGAGTCACGGAACAGGAGATCCAGCAGAGAAACAGCCGTAATGAAAGCGCAGTTTTTTTTTTTTTTTTTTTGTTTTTTGGTTTTTTTTTTTGTTTTTTTTTTTTTTTTTTTTTTTTTTTTTTTTTTTTTTTTTTTTTTTTTTTTTTTTTTTTTTTTTTTTGTTTTTTATTTTTTTTTTTTTTTTTTTTCATTTTTTTTTATGCCGACGCATCAACATGGAGCTGGAGACGAAAGAATTGGCGGTGTGCGTGCCTGGGACAGGCGGGGTCGTGCTCGCCGTGAATGCCCCTGTGCTGGTGAATACCACGGCCGTGAAGAAAGGAGAAGAGCTCCTGTGGGAGGCGAGACCCAAAACCGCACCGAAGAAGAAGGCGGCCGAGGAGACGTGGAAGACGGACGCGGCCAAGAGGGCCAAAGGGAAGCCTTCGGGCCAGCCCGCGCCGAAGAAATCGAAGAAAGGGTTCGACGAAAGCGGGAAGATGTCGCTATAATTAAGAAGCCGCAGTGGCGGCAGTCAGGGCGGCTTGCTCGCGTGACCGCAGTTGCGGGCAACAGGCCGAAGGGGGGGGCGCACGCGTGACCGCTGTTGCGGAGCGCTCGTGTAGTTTGCAGTGTCACTGCTTCTGTTAGCTGATGCCGCAGTAGCGGACCGCTGACGATCGAGCACGGAGGTTCGAATCGGACCTCCTCCCTCCCTTCTCCCTCTCCTCCCTCGCCCTTCCTCCACTTCCTCCCTCTCTCCTCCTCCTTTCTCCCCTTCCTCCCAAGTTGGAAGCCGAAACTACTCATTTCCTCGCTCCCTCCCTCCCTCCCTGGAGGCCCTGGAGGGCCTCCGCCCTGGAGGGCCTGGAGGGCCCTGGAGGCCCTGGAGGGCCTCCCTGGAGGCCCTGGAGGGCCTCCCTGGAGGCCCTGGAGGGCCTGGAGGGCCCTGGGCTGAGGGCGGAGGCCCTGGAGGGCCTCCGCCCTCAGAATGCTTCAAAGCAGTGCCGCGGCACTGCTTTGAAGCACCCAGGTGCTTCAAAGCAGTGCCCCGGCACTGCTTTGAAGCATTCTGAGGGCGGAGGCCCTCCAGGGAGGCGCGAGGATCGCAGGGGCCGAGGGAGGCCCTCCAGGGAGGCGTTCGTCTCGCCATCTGGCTCAACCGCGCGCGGCCCCACTGCCCGCACCTCCGCCTTGCCCGCAGTTGCGGCTGTGTCCAGCGCAGTAGCACACATGCCGACTTCGAGCGAATGGAGCCCTGTGTGCGTTGAGAAGGTCTTGTGCATCCGTGAGGTTGGCTTGCGCAGACCACCCCCATCCCCGAAAAGGATGTCAAGGTGCTCCACGCAGGGCCCCTCGGAGAGATAAGCTTCGTGCACGTGAACATGCAAAAGGCTTGGCTGCTCAAGGTGCGCGCCAAAGGTAAACCGACCGCAGGGGCCTTGAAGGCCTCCAAGGCCTGGGACGCGCTGAAGAAAGAACTCGCGAAGCAGGGCGGCGCCGCAGTTGCGGACGAGGAGAGCAACGGCGACGCGGGGGACGAAGCAGATGACCCCATGTCGGCCCTGGTCAGCTCCACGGACGCCACGAAGAAGCAGGCAGCGACCCCGACCAGCGCCAAGAATCAGAAGACTGGAACGCGTGCGGCGACTACTGGCCTGCCCAGGGGCGAGGCCGTGGAGTCGGCCATAGCCACTGTGCACTCCGTACAGATGCCCGCAAAGAGCCCCATGAAGTTTCCGCACAACACGGCCGTTCGAAACGTGCGGGTGGCCAGCTTCAAGCGGAGGACGTTGTGGCTGGACGCTGCAGACCTTGGGTGGCTGATCGACATGATCGTGGACGACGTGAGCCTCGGCGGTGTCCCCGACATCGACGACGGCGACAAGGACGAGGCCGCAGTGGCGGACAGGGACTGGGCAACTGCGGTTGACCCTGCCACCCCGCTGGCGAAGCAAAAGGAGGTCGACTCCCCCGTGGCGCAGGGGAGCGGCTCTGGCTTCACCGTCGTTTGGGACTTTAAGGGCGCTTGGGTCGCGACCATCACGCGAGAGTGTGCCAACAAGGGCAAAAGGATCGAGATGGATGTGAAGAAACTTACAAAGAAGAAGTGGCAGTCGGCGCAGTCGGTGAAGGGCTACGACTACGTGTGGGAGGGCATGACGCAGCACCAGCGCAAGCAAGCGGCTCTGGATTACCTCGAGCTCCAAATCCCCAGTCTGTTCGACTGAGGCCCGAAGCCGCATGGGCCGCAGTTGCGGTGGGGCTACTGAGTGCCCGCAGTTGCGGGGTGGCTGGTGCGCGTGAACACGCGGAGGGCGAGGCGGTGTGAGGAGGCAGGCGGAAGGTTTAGGGTGTTCCACGGGTGCACGCCTTAGTGCGCCAACTTGTGTGGCGAGCGTTTTTCTTAGAGAAGCATGGAGTGAAGCATCGAAACCCTGTGCGCGCGATGATTGGGGCTTCCGCGCGGGCGTTGTTGAAATGTACCTCCTTCTTCGCCCCTCCGCATCGTCTTCAGTTGCTCCTCCCTCCTCCCCTCCCTCTTCCTAGTTCTGTAGCCCGCAGCCGAGTGCCCGGCCCGAGTCGTTCGCCACGCGACCGCTCATGGAAGTTCCCGTGGGGCGGACATGGTATGGCGAGGAGGACGGAACGCATTTCGAGGTGGAGTGGCTCCATTACGACAGCGGCTGCGCACCGAGGAAAACGAAGTATGGCACCACTGGGCTCGCCAACATCTTGAGCCGCAGTAGCGGCGTTCCGTGCCCCAAGAAGATGAAGGTGCACGCATGTGCGGATTTTCCGTGCCTAGCGAAGTGGCCCGCGTCGCAGTACGGCCTTGCTGAGCCGCCTCGCTTTCATTTGCGGCCGTCTGCTTGGCGACCGGGCGCGACGCCACCACCCGCAGTTGCGGCTCCAGGCGGCACCGCAGTTGCGGCTCCCTCGGCCCCTGCACACATAGCTCCAGCAACACCAGCAGAACTCGCAGCTCCTGCGCAAGAAGGACA